CGCGTATTTGGAAACTACCAATATATGTTTTCCCAACCTTCGTTTTTTTTTATGAAAAATATCTAACCACAACAACACAAAAAATTTAGCCTAATTTTATCCTTGCCCTCTTACACACATGTTGACATACCTACCTATACCTACCCATACGAAAAAAAACATAATCACGCGAAGAAATTCTTGGGATTCAATAAGTACCATCCAGTGTGTAGATGTATCAAATATAATTGTTGTTAAGGTGCGTATACATCTGCCGAACCGAGCATGTAATGTAACGTGTAATCATTGACTAATTATTAGTCAATGGTGTAATGTAACAAATTCGGACAATTGGGACGGCGCCGCGAGCACGAAGCGAACAGGTTCGCAGTGTGCTCGCTCGCTCCGTCAAAAGTCGGTTTTTGTGACGAGCACAAAGGGATTCGCGTGCTCGATTGGGACGTGTTTTTAGTTTAACCTTCCTGTTCTTGACGTGCTCGCGAGCATTTAGTCTTGTTTAAAATGGCGCAGTGGTCAGATGAAAGTTCATTGTTATTGATAGAGATTTATAAAAATTATGAAGTGCTGTGGAATCCAAGGAATGAAAACTATTATAACAAAAATTTAAAAGTGGATGCCTGGAAAGAAATAGCGGCCGCAGTTGAACAGCTGGAAGAAGCATGTAAAGCAAAAATCATTAGTTTACTTGCTTCATACAGAAGGGAGAAGGAAACAATTTCTGCACAACCACTGAAAAACAATTCGCCTGCAATGGTCAAGCATGAATGGAGCGACCTACGAATATGTTCGCGCTCGTACTGTTTAAATCAAACGAGCATTACATTACATGTTACATTACATGCTCGGTTCGGCAGATGTATACGCACCTTTAGGTGAATGGTTGTTATAGTCTCTCCTAATACGATTGTTATTGTTATAGTATGATACAGCCAGGTTTCCAAATGTCACATTTGAAATCTGCTAAATTATCTTCTTGGAATCTTTTAACAATATTTTTAGAATCCCCTTAGAACCCCTTTTTAATATTGTATTAAAGTCTTTACAGAATATCTAGAACTTTCAAATCCCCAGAATGCTTTTAGAATACTCTTAAGTTTTCTTATATAAAATAAGGTATAACCTTTTCGGAAACTGGGCACCCTCTCACCCTATATAGAATCGTCTAAAGGTCTTCTTGGGATCCCATAATCTCAAAAATATTATTAAAATGGTTGGAATTTTTACAGTATTCGTAGAATATTCTTAGAGCCATTTTACAGAGCGTTCTGTTAAAATATTTCTACAATCTTTAGAATCGTCGGAATCATTAGAATCCATATAATCTTATTAAAAAAGAAAAGTATAGATCTCATAAGTGAATGAAATAACACCACATGCTCCGTTCACAACTCATTTTACATAAAGTTCACATTCGGATAGTTTCAAAAAGTAAAACTCCAAAGAAACCAAAATGTGTCAAAATAAAAGTTAAAGATTCTGTTTCTGAGATCTGGAAGAAGATGCATAGCAGACCGACAGACAAACAAAGTGATCGCTTACCCTAATTTCATTCATCTAATAAGTTTATCCTTTTGAATGAATTTAACATTTTAATATTACAAATGACTGAAAAATTCACCTTTTTTTTGTTTACGTTCAAAAAGAGTTGCGCATTAATTAATTTTGTGAACAGATGTGTTATTGGAGGTTCGCGTTTAGATAAGAGAAGCTTGCATATTTTAATAATAGAATTAGGAAGTGGAATCGAAGAAAGAGAAATGGTGTAATAGAAGTGTGGGAACGGGGGCCGGTGACCCTTAGCCGTCTCCCCGTGACCGGTTGCTTTTCGCCGTTTTCCTGAAGCCGCCGTCGCCGTGTTTTGGGGGTTCGTCTTTGGTCTTTTTGTGTGATGTCGGATTTTCTTTGTGGAGTATCGATGATTTGGATGTACTACGTGATTAAAATGTGAGACGTTTTTCTTAAAATTTAACTGTAGTGTTATTTGTTAACTAATGTCAAGTCAGTTTCTTGGTCAGTACAGTTGATAAAAGGAAAATTTAGTGAATTCAAAGCTTATGAGTATTTCTGAGTATTTAAAATGTCGAGTTTGTGTTACGTAATAAAGAACTGACGTTACTGAGGCGAATTCGGTTTAATGTTGGCAGTGTAAGACTGGATTTTGGACCCTTGACAGTATCAAGGTAATTAGATTTTTTTAAATCTGTTTTGACCGAGCGCTTGCATGCGCGGTTTCTATTCGCTGGCATTGCCGCCATTCTTTATACTACGGCAATTACACGACACGAAAGTTCTACGATATTCCGTTTCCGAAATCTGGATCGATTTAGAAAAAGTTTAAAAGGCACCCGAACAGCCGATATTAGGGAAACTATAAGCTTCTTTTTGAAAATACAGAAGATTTCTCTGTCTTCTACCTATCCTTTGTTTGAAGCTTTCACATCAAACGCATGCTGCCAAATCTAATCCTTTTTTTTGCGCATTATAAAAAATCCATACGCTATTATATTCGTTATGGCTGACTGTGTGGCTGGATGGCTGTCCGGGCTGTGTCAGGAATTACAATAGATAGACTTCAAATTTTCACTAAAAGCTTCCTGCTATAGTGTAGACGTGCAGGCTTTAGTCTGAGTACTCGTGAGATCGATAATTTGCAGAGTAACTGTATTACCAAAAATGCGCTTTCACCATGCATATGCTGATTTACAACTTGTTTATCGCAGCATGGTTTAAAGTTTTGAATTAATGCACCAAAGGATAGAAAATTTAAATACCTTTCACACTTCCTTGAAATATCCCAGTATTATCGATGCATTTAAGACTTTGTTCGTAAGATGCTTCCTATTCATTCACGAAAACAACTCTTCATATTCTTTATAATAGGATTTACTGAATTTGGATTTTGCTCCTACCAACTTTTCTTCTGATTTACAACAAGCCATTAAATTTTAACGGAAGTTATTTTATATACATTTTAATTTCGGTGACTTTCATAAGCAAACGTCAAGTGGCATTTCCATGGCAATCATGAAATTACGAATAAAAGGCCCACCTAATTAGACTCGAGACTCTAGAGTATAACGTCAATATGATTTTTTTTATTTCCCTTAGTTTTAAGTTATATTGCAAATCCTATAAGAAACACGTGCATAATTTATCTTTAAAACACTTGCAACGTTTAAAGGCACTCCGCTACGCGTCGTGTCATTAAAGTACTTTCAAGATTTTTGATTATACACTTGTAATGTACTATTTATTTATTCGAATGAGTTTCAAATATTTGTGTAGCGAATAACCAATAGTGCATCTTTTTTTCTTATTCGCCATGACTGTAATGCGGAGCGCCTAGTCAAACAGGTACTCACTAGGTAATAGCTAGGTAACCGTGGCACGATCACTTTTAAAAGGAGCTCAGAGTAATCGCAATCTTTGGTACTCACAGGCCCTTTTCGTAAATCGCGGGATTTTTGTAATCGTTCTTTCGATATTGCATCGAACTTTGTCCATTGTTTACATACAGAATACAACAATGGTATGGTATTTTCACAAATGATGCTCGCAACTAGTAAAAGAACTAGGAAATCGAGGTTCCTTTTTAATGGAAAACTAAAAAAGCTCGCTAGATACGAGCTTATTTTATAGCTCTCCTTTACTTTGGGTCAAAATAGAAACAAAAAAGCCCACATTATCTAGTGTTTGGCAATAATTGGTTTTAATTATAAGTTACTGCATATTAATTACGTGCCCACACCTCTTTTGTATTTGTTACAATAAAAGTAATCACCTCTAATTGCACAATAATGAGTGATAGAATAATAATTTACATTTTATTACCACAAGGTCTAATAAGCTACCTGAGTTTCATCGCCCGCGGTTTTATAAATTAAATAAAACACTTTTGAAACACCTTACGGTTACTTCTAAATAGCAGAAGATCTCTTTCAGAAATATGGCATTCAACGTCAGCATTTATTTTTCAGAAAATGTTCACTGTAATTACGATATTGCGTGAAATATCAAAAGAAAAAAGATGTTCTTCTACAAAAAATGGGAGCAAATTTTTCAAAATGTAAATGCTCTGATTATTAAAAGAAATACAATGCTCCTTTCGCATTTCGTTCAAGGTAATTTTGGAGCCGTAATACACGTGTGTCAGAACTACGTTTATTTCTGAGATACAGGGTGAAAACGAAAAGTTTGACTTTTTCGAATTGATATATCACAACCTATATTTTTTTAATTTTAGCTATGAAAACCTTATTCTTTACTGTTTTTAAATAGTATGCCATGGATTCATAGAGATTTTGCTTTGTTTATTGTATTCATGATAAATAAGGCAGCTGATACCGATCAATAACAATGGCTGACTGTAGAAACAAGTTTTGAAAAATTTGGAAAAATGATATAATATATAATAGATATATAATTAATATGATTATATAAAAAATATAAAATTATACAGGTTGTGAATTGTGATGGGTCAATAGGTATAATCAGGATAAAAGGATACCAAAAAATGACAATAAATTATACAGGGTGTTGCATTTGAAAAATACCAACATTGGGTCAAATCTCAGAAATGGTGGTCAAAAGGATAGTGTTTGACTCCGGTGATGAGTGACTTTATTTTCTCGATGAATTGATTTAATTGCGGAGGTAATAATTTAGAAGGCTACAATAATAAAAAACAGTGTAATCAATCATTCACTGACTCCTTGCCATACCGTTCTACTTCCTAAAACAAGAGGCATGGAACAATAAAGTAGAGCGACGTGCAACTGAAAAAAATCGGTCGAAAAACTACGGAAATCGAATTGTTTATTGTGAACGCAAAAATCAAACGAACTAATAACAATATGTTATGTAAATATAATTGAAGCGACAGAAAAACCATGTCTTGAGAATCATATTTCTTCAGGTATTACCAGAGTGGGGTAAGAGCCCTGAACTTAACCTATATATAAGAGCTGATAAAATGATAGATTGTTCAAACGAAGGCCACTGTTATAGTTGTTGTTTTATTGTCAGTTTATGTAAAAGGACCCTACCCTACCGCAACAATTCTGTAATCAGACCAAAATCCCCACCTGTTCGGTGTGCTATTAAGTGCTCGCTTGTCAAAGTCTCGCGTTCGCTGCTACCGTGACGGTGGAAAAGTGTGTTCCTTCCTTCCGTATTTTTAGTCGATTGATTGAAAAGCTACCGAAAACGCGCCGCGCTCGAAAGCCTCCCATTCGCGCCGTGCTTCCAGTTCATGGTCCAGTTGTCCCGATTTGTTTTTCTCGTTTTATTTTAATAATACAGGTTTGAAGATGAGCAAAAGGGACAGTAATAATGGAAACAGTAATTTTAATGTGGAAGTTGTACAAAGTAATCAGGTACGTTTTTTACTGTGATTTAGGCGCTATTTGAAAGCGCTCAATTTAAACTTATTCATAGCGAGTTTTAAAGGCCCATTGAATTGGCACAATTCTCCTCGTTTACTTTTAATGCATTTTAAATAAAACTTTCTAAACGTTTTGTACATATAAGTACGAGTTAAATAATCTTGAATGGTTTCACTTTTCTCTCTCACAAAAAAACAGCGTGTAGGTACTTTGAAATTGATTACACGCCTTTATCTGTCTTTATCTCTCCTTTACAATTGTTTGAATATTATTATCTCGATGCTCAAGAGGGCTATTTTCTCCCAAATTGTGCCCCTCTATTTTCTATTGAATTAATTTTTATCAGAAGATTTCGCTAATTGTCTTGTATAACACATAATCCGTTACCATGAAACGATCTTTTGTTTAATTTCTATTTCACTGTATGGCTCCGTTAACTTAGCACCACCATTTCAAATTTTTGACCAAAGACAGATTGCGCTAGAATCTCTATGGCTAGCGCCAGCTAGCGCCACTTTGAGTTCAGCTAGCGCCATTATAGATTTTGCAGAAAAGCCCTTGATTTTCGGGGGGTGCTATGTTAACGCTAGCACCACCATTGCGTCCGATCATTTCCAAAAGCAAGCGCTGTGTTCGTCAGACCTAGCGCCAGCTAGCGCCACAAATTTTAGAGCTAGCGCCACCCCCCAATAGTGAGGGGAGCAATTTTTCCTAGCACCACCATTTTGTCTTTTCATGTAAAATTTTGACGTTTTGTGTTCTGCTGACCTAGCGCCAGCTAGCGCCACTTTGAGTTCAGCTAGCGCCATTATAGATTTTGCAAAAAAGCCCTTGACTTTCGGGGGGTGCTATGTTAACGCTAGCACCACCATTGCGTCCGATCACTTCCAAAAGCAAGCGCTGTGTTTGTCAGACCTAGCGCCAACTAGCGCCACAAATTTTAGAGCTAGCGCCACCCCCCAATAGTGCAGGGGGCAATTTTTCCTAGCACCACCATTTTGTTTTTTCGGGTAAAATTTTGACGTTTTGTGTTTTGCTGACCTAGCGCCAGCTAGCGCCACAAATTTTAGAGCTGTCATCACCCTCCATAGTGTGGGGGGAGGGGGCACCACCATTTTGTCTTTTCGGGTAAAAATTTGATGTTTTCTGTTCTGTAGACCTAGCGCTCAAGTTAACCTAGCGCAATTATAAATTTTGCAAAAAGCCTTTAACTTTTGGGCGTGGTTTATTAGCCTCTAACACCACCATTGTGTTCGATGACTACCAAAAGCAAGCGCTGCGCTGTGTTCTTTAAACGTAGCGCAGAGCTGGCGCCCAATCCCCAACATTGTGGGGGTCCTTTTTTTTATAATACCACCGGTTTGTTTTTTCGTGTACAATTTTGCTATTTTGTGTTTTGCTGACATCTCCCAGATAGAGTCAAAATCTTAAGAGTAGGCGCCACACCCAAGTAGTCTGGGACAGTTTTTCCTAGCTTTATGACTTGGCACCACTGAAATATTTTGGATTAATTTTCTAGTAAAACGAGTGGTGTGGTAGCTGAATCTGCGGCAAGTATTAAAATAAGGAAATACAGTTCATATATTATAGAACAGAACCATATTTTTATACCTTTCGCAGTAGAGACATTGGGACCTTGGTGTAGAGAATTTTGTGGAATACCTGGGAAAACGCATTACCAATATTACTGGGAACCCAGAGCTACCACTTACTTACGACAAATTTAAGTATTGCCATACAAGGTGCAGGTAACGCGGCCAGTCAGTGTAATGGGGACCGAAAATTATCATTTATTAACGAGCTCCTAGCGAGTTTATAATTTTGCGGTGTCTGTCCGTCTGTCCGTCCGTTAGCACGATATCTCGATAACGAATGGAGCGATTACGATAAAATTTTGTAGGTGGATTCTTTACGAGATTCTTTATCAAATTTGTAGATCGGAGTTCGTGAACTGGCAATGTAACCCAAAAAATAAGAAAGGCCCTTTTGACATCTCCGTGAGTTATGAACCGAATTGCATGAAATTCAATATGCGTATAGCTTTAGCCACATAAAACGCAATTCCAAAAATTGAGTCTAATCGATCAACATTCACAATGCTCTTTTCGCATTTCGACCATTTATAAACCGAATTACAAACTTTTTTATTTATGAAGGATTTAAATGAAATTTGATACATAACCACTTGGAATAAAAGCAAATATAACGCTAGTTTCAAAATTTGATTTTGCGCAACTTTCTTATTTATGGAGGGGTTTAAATGAAATTTGACACTTTAAGCCACTTTGAATAAAAGTAAATGTTGGAAAATTAGTAGTTGTGATAAGTTTTTCTTAAATATTTAAAAAACTATACTATTTAGCGCGATATAAAATAAATAATCTACAGTAAATTGCGAACAAAAATGGCCTCATATATAATCTTGCTAAATTGAACCATTCCAGAGTTACGGAGGGTGTAACAGTAGAAATTTTTCATCTTTTTTTTTAGATTCTTTTGGAAAAAATATGAGATTATCACTAAGGAAACTATTTTTTTTGTTAAAACCGGTTAAAACAAATTGCGCTTTAGTGACCGGTGGTATGTTACTGATAAGTCCTTGAAGGAACGATAACCTTACCACCTTCTCAAGGGGGGCCATTTTTTCAAGAGACTTCCACTATGAGGGACAGTAATTCCTGGGGAGTTGCAGGATGTGTTGTTATTGCTTCAGGTGTTCGACAATCTTGCATTCCCACTTCATCGGGTTCTTCTTCTAATGGTAAGTTCTAAATGAATGTTCTACCTGGTAGCTGCTGAAGTGGGGAGAAGCGCAGCCAACTTGAACAGTGAATGTATAGGATGCTTTGAAATAGCTTGCAAGTAACACTGGTAACGAAAACAAGCCAGATCTTCAGTGTTCTTTACTTCAAACATGATTTCATTTTTCCAGAAAATCGAAAAAATACAAAAAATGCCTACTTTTACACCCTCCGTAACTCTGGAATCGTTGACTTGAGCAAGATTATACACAAGACCATTTTTATTCACAATTTAATGTAGATTATTTTGGATATGGTACTTTTCTCGCCAAACCCCATAGTTTTCTAAATATTTAAGAAAAACACCAAAAACTACTAATTTACCAACTGGTGTAACTTTTTACCAAACAATATGTGGACTGTATAGAACAATTTGCAGTTAATGGGAAACTTTTACTTTTGATGTTTAGGTTAAGCCGTTTTGTCGACTAATTGCACCGTACTATATTATGAATTTTTAATTTTAAAATTTCCATATTAGGTACTGTTTCTTGTGAAATTTTTCTGTTTTGTGCTCTACTCACTAAACAATTCTTTTTGTAAGTCACAGTATTAATTTCACTACCACAGTATTGCGAGCTAAATCGTTTAGAGCACAGCGCAGTGCAAAATTTGAAAATTTCAACGAACGTACCTACCTACTCATAACCTATATAAAGTCGTTAAATTAATCAGCATATTTGTTAATTCTGCTAAAAAACAAAGAAGCAGTTCTTATATACTTATCTGTAATTTCCGTATCTAACTAATTTTTATGGTGCAAATAAGGCATATGTATTTTATATGATTAATACACTCCATTAATATACGGCCAATCGGCTAGGTTTCAAATTCTAACCAATCAGATGATTTTTTATCTGATTAAATGCTAGGTAGCTTTTTACAGCGATAAAAATGCGTGTAGGAATACGTAAAATATGTAGTGGTTGTAAAATTTATTGTCTTTATTAATCTCCCTAAAATACACTCGACCCTGGTCAGGATAATTTTATTTTTAATTCACTCAAATTTTGTTGCCTCCTGGAAAAAACTCTTGATCAAAAGCATAATATTAATAAAATCGCTCCAGCTAAAACTGTCGCGATCACACTTTTGGTTTCGAGTTTTTTCCGTTGCAACAAAATTTTCGTGTAAAAATAAAATTATGCGATTAAAAATCAAGCTCTTGATAAATTATATACCTATGTACGTCACGTCAACTACCATCTAAAGGTGTTTTTTTAACAATACATATTTACCAACATTCACACAATTGACGCGCCTGTAAACCCTTGATGTGACAAATAATTTACAACTCTTGCGCATTCATAAAGGATTTAAGTAAGTTTGTACCTGCATACCTCACCGTCAGTTTACTTCGAAATGAAGGGTTACAATCTTGCTACTTTATATACAAATTTTAGTATTTTTATTGGAACTTTTTACTTTAAACAGAACGATCAATCCAAAAAGTAAAGAATTTCAAATTGAAATAATTTGATTATTATTTCAGACCCTTAGAGGGACAGATTTGCACATTCGGGTTTAAAAAAGGTAAAGAGTTTGACCATCCCAGATGCGGTGTCTGTCCGTTAGCACAATAGTTCGATAACGAATTGACCGATTACGATGAAATGTTGTAGTTGGATTCTTTATCAAATTTGTAGATCGAAGTTCATGAATTGGTAATGTATCCCAAAAAATAAGTCAGGCCCTTTTGACATATGCGTGAGTTTTGAACCGAATTGCATAAAATTCAATATTCGTATAGCTTAAGCTATATAACACGCAATTCCAAAAATTGAACCTGATCTATCAACATTCACAGTGCCCTTTTCGCATCGACGTGTAAATAAATATAGAAAACGATCTCCTGGGTATGGCTACAGCATGTGCAAAACCAAATTTTGAACTTGGTGTTAGTTTTGCTTTTATTTAAAGTGTATATGTATGAAATTTGATTTAATTGCTTCCATAAATAAGAAAATTGGCACCACACATCATGCACAAAACCAAATTTTGAAACTGACGTTAAATTTGCTTTTATTCCAAGTGGCTATGTATCAAATTTCTTTTAAATGCTTCCATAAATAAGAAAGTTTTCAATCCGGTTTGTAAATGGTCGAGATGCCAAAAGAGCACTGTGAATGTTGATCGATTAGGCTCAACTTTTGGAATTGCGTTTTATATGGCTAAAGCAATACACATATT